CTGGCACCTCTCAGGGTCGCCAAGGGCTGCTGTGGCCGGCAATGCTTCCCGGTGCCCTTCTCGAGGTGACTCGGCTCCCCCGACTCTCCTGGATGCGATTGGGGGTCTGGGCATGCAGAAACTCATCCCACCCCCTCCCCCCCACCCCATTGCGTTCCACCCAATTCCGTTCCACCCAATCTCATCCCACCCCATCCCGGGTGTCTCCAGCCCCTGCCAGCAGCTCTCTCCCGTCGATGGCCCCAGCGCGGCCGGATTCCCGGCTTCCCGGCAGGAATGTGCCGGGGGAGTCCAGCCCCCCGCCCGCCGGGGCCGCTTCCTCTTTCGGCGCTATTTAAGCGGCGCCCGGCGCGCCCCACCCGGGAGGGCCATGGAGCGCATGGAGGTGACCGAGACCTTCGCGGGCATCGCCTTGCCCGGCCACCTCCACACCCAGGAGTCCCTCGGCTTCGCCGCCGCCTTCACCTTCCGCCCCACCGACGTGCTCATCGCCACCTACCCCAAATCGGGTGAGGGGCAGGGGGACACGGGGACAGCGGTGGGGACCTTCGGCTGGAGAGGGGGGCTCCACTGGCGGGGCTGGGAAGGGGTAGTGCTCGGGGACACTCGGACCACTGGCACAATGTGGGGAACCCTGGCCAGGGGCTCCCGCCTCCCAAGCCCCCTGTGCTGCTGCCCCACACTGTCCCAGCCCCAGAGTGGTGTCTCTGTGGGGGTCTAGAGGGGCCACATGGTACTGCCATCCCAGTTGCTGCCCCGGGACGAGCTGAGCTGTGATGGGACAGGACGGGATAGAATAGGATGGGATGGGACTGGCCAGGGTGGGACGGGAAGGGCCGGGCTGAGCTGAGCCATTCCGTGCCAAGCCAAGTTGTGCCGATCTGCTCCACAGCATGCTGTGCCATCCGATGGCATGTGCCATTACAGTGTGCTGAGCCATGCCATTCCCTGCCACACCATGGTACCATGCCATGCACTGCCCCATGCTGAGCTGGCCCTGCCCTGACTCCTACCTTCACAGGCACCACCTGGATGCAGGAGATCCTGACGCTGATGTTCAGCCTTGGGGACACTCGCCCAGCCAAGACCATTCCCAACTGGGAGCGGGCTCCGTGGCTGGAGCAGATCTACTGCCGGGAGGCTCTGAGGGACACAGAGACCCCCCGGCTGCTCACCACCCACATGCCTGCCCATGTCCTGGCTCCTGCCCTGCAGAGCAGCAAGGCCAAGGTGAGAGGGAGACAGACGGTCTGGGGGGATCCCGCAGGGACATCCTGAACCACCGGGACTTCCCACAGCTGGGGAAATGCCAGGAGCTTTCTAAGCTGGGTGGAGCAGAATCCCCCCAGCCATGGGGGTGACGCTGTGTCCCCCCCAGGTGATCTATGTGGCCAGGAACCCCAAGGATGTTGCTGTCTCCTTCTACCACTTCCACCACCTGGCCAAGTTTCTGCCCGACCCTGGCTCCTTCGACGCCTTCCTCACGCAGTTTCTCGAGGGCACAGGTAAGGGCTGAGGATGTCCTTGGGTGGGGGACTCAGCCTTGGGGCCACCCATCAATTCCTACCTCCCGCCCCCCATCAATTCCTGCCTCCCACCCCAGTGCACTATGGCTCCTGGTTTGACCACGTCAAGGGCTGGCTGGGCCAGCGGCACCTCCTGGACATCCTCTACGTCACCTATGAGGAGCTGCACCAGGTGAGCTCTGCAGTGTCCCCATCCCTCTCCCCATCCCCACCAGTGCCCAGCGCTGACCATGCCCCTGCTCCAGGACCTGCGTGGCACAGCGCAGCGCCTCAGCACCTTCCTGGGGTGCCCACTGGCCCCAGAAACGCTGGCAGCCCTGGAGCAGCACTGCAGCTTTGCCGCCATGCGGGACAACGCCATGGCCAACTACTCCCTCATCCCCCCCGAGATCATGGACCACAGCCAGGGCCGCTTCATGCGCAAAGGTGAGGAGGCAGGGGCTGGGGGAACACAGGCAGCACGGGGGCAGCATCCCTGACCCCCTCTGCCCTCCGTCCCACAGGTGTGGTCGGGGACTGGCGCGACCACTTCTCCCCCCAGCAAAATGCCCTCTTCAACCAGCGCTACCAGGAGGAGATGAGGGACGTAGAGCTGCCCACGCAGTGGCCCATGGCCTGAGGGACCTGGGGGGACACTCACCCCAACTTGCTGAGAACAATTGTAGCGGGAGAACTCTGCGTAGGCACCCCTTGGTGCCCCACAACACACCCCCACATGTCACCTGGGGCCAGGGGTTCCCATGGGGATGGGGGACATGGCACTGTGCCACCCCCCTGGGGATGGGGAACTTTTCCAGCTGTGCACTGTGGCCATCCCCGTGGCCTCGCTCCCCCCAGGCAGGGGCATATGGCCGTGACCCCTCTTTCCGCCCATACTGCTCTGCGGAAATAAATATTTATTGCTGTTCCCAGGCAGGCTGTGTGTTCACACGGGTGTCAGGCGGGAAGCGGGAAGCCCTGGAGTTATCAGGGACACATCAGGGTGGGGACCCTTCCTTTGGGACCTTATCAGCATCCGGGAGCAATGGCCGGGCGGTCAGGCTTGTGGGGGGTGCTGGGCTCTGTGGGGGGTCATAGCGGGGTGACAGGTTTTGCCAGCGGAGCCCAGGGCACAGAGCCAGCTCTTTCAGCAGCACCCAGGCTCTCCTACCCCTGGAGTCTCCGTGCCCCAGTGCAGCCCCTCCCATTGCCGCCTGCACCCCAACATCCCCTCACCTTGCCCCAGTGCACCCTTTCCCGGTGCCCTCTGCACCCTAACATTCCCCCATCCTGCCTCAGTGCACCCCCTCTCCTGGAGCCCCCTGCACTCCACTGCCTCCACCCCGCCCCAGTGCTCCCCTTCCTGACCCCTGCACCCCAGTGCCCCCTGATACCCCCCATCCTGCCCCAGGCTCTCCCCAATGCTTTGGGAGGGGGCCACAGCGTCCTAACCATCCTGTTTGGATGCTCCCCCTGCCCATCTCCCCTCCTGGGGTGTTTGCACCCAGGGGCTTGTTCCACCTCCTCTCCCCCAGCACTCTGGGGTGCCCCAGGCAGACAGGACACCTCCCAGTCCCTCTCTGGCCACAAGCCAAGGAATTGCATTGTGGAGCCACCTGGGAAGCACAGGCACCTTCAGTGATTATCCATCTTCATTATCTGGCCCCTGCAGGGTGAGTACAGGGCCAGGGTGAGGGGTGTGGGGAGTTGGCCCTGGCACCAACAGAGCCCCTGGACAGGGCTTGGCAGAGAGGGGGGAGGTGGTGAGACTCTCTCTGGGGTCTGCAGCACTGTGGGACAGTGACACTGCTGTCTTGGCACCCCTACCAGCTCTGCCACACCTGTACCCCTTCCATTCCTGCCAGCTCTGCCACCTCTGCCAGCCCTGCCACCCTTCTCTGCTCCTGCCAGCATTGTCACCCCTGCCACCCCTCCCAGCCTCTCTGCACTGGCAGTGGGTACAGCCTGACACAGTGATTCTGGACACCCCCAGCACCACGGGGTCTCTCCACACCCGCCCTGGGGCACCCATCTGTCCCCATGGACCTGGGTACCAGGGCAGCCCCCTGCCCATGCCAGGGCCGGCCAGTGCTGAAGCCTCCTAGGCGGCAGGTTTGGGTTTCCATGGCAACATCCAGGATCCCACTTTATGGGAAATGAATCAGGAGCTATATATAGGCATTGGATGGGGGTGCAGGCAGTCTGTCCTGCCTGTGCCCTGCACTGGTGGCAATGTCCAAGGGCCAGCAGGGCCACCCCAGTGACTGACTGCCCACACAGGGACAGTCTGGGCCCTGTGTCCTCACCTGGGGTGATGGCATAATCCCAGAGCCCAGGGCAGTGCCACCCCCAAGGCTGGCTCTGGGATGGCCCCTGTGCCATGACACTGTGCCAGGCTCCAGTTTCAGTCCCTGTGGTGGCCTTGGTCACACCCTGCCCCAGGGGATGTCACCTCCCCAGGAGCATCTGCTGGCACAGGACTGGCATCAGCAGCGCACAGCACGTGGTAGCAGAGTGGCACAGTGCCCAGCACACGGCACAGCATGGTGAGTGGCACATGGCACACAGAACGTGGCACATGACAAATAGCACATGTCACGACATGCAGCACGCAGCACGTGGCATATGACAATGCACATGGCACACACAGCACAGCACATGGCACACAGGACAAAGCACATGGCACGTGGGGCATGCAACACCGCATGACACATGCCACAGAGCACATGGCACGCAACATGTGGCACACGGCACACAGGACACGACACATGGACACAGCACGTGTTTCATGGCACGTGACACACAGCACATGGCAACACAGTATGTGGCACATGATGCAGGGCACATGGGACATGGCATGTGGCCCGTGGGACATGACACATCACAGCACATGTCACAAGGTACATGCACGTGGTGCATGGCCCATGGCACACATCATATAGCACACGGCACACGGTATGTGGCACAGGATACGTGCACACAGCACATGGCACACGACACGACACAGGTCACAAGGCACACAGCACACAGCACATGGTGACACTCAGCAGACATCACATAGCACGTGTCACAAGAGACGTGGACATGGTGCCCAGCCCATGGCACACATCATACAGCACATGGCACATGCCGTGTGACACACAGCACACAGCACGTGGCAGTGGCCGTGTGCAGGGCAGCAGGGCCTGCTCCGTTGCCACCTCCCACAGCTCTGTGCCCTGGATTTGGAGCTGTGGCACAGGAGGGGTGCGCCCACTCCGGCACATGAAAGCAGCAGCTGCTCCAGCACCCAGAGCTCTGGTGCTCCCGGCACACTGATAGCTATGGACACCCGAAATGTGGGGGCAGCAGGGCTGCGGGATGCCATTGACTCTTGTCACCAGCCAGCGTGGCATGGTATCACCACAAGGGGACATGGGCAGCACCCAGGATGTGCCAGTCCCTCTGTCCACCCCCCTTTAACCCCTAGGGAGGGTGGCACCCAGAGAGCAGGACGATGGGCACAGGGGTGTTGCTTTATTGGGGGAGTCATGCAGCCTCCAAACATCACAGTGACAGAGAAGCGGGGACCGAGAGGACCACAAGGACAGTAGGGATGGAGCGGGGATGGGCCGCAGGGCACGCAACACCAGGAGTGGGTAGTGCCTGCTGGGGACCCCCGGGCAGTGCAGAGAGTGTCCAGCACAGGGGGGCCAGGACCTACCCCATGTCCCAGAGGGGGGGGCTGTGGCAGGGCTGGGACTCGCGGGGACACCGTCTGTCCCTGTGCCACACCGGGGGGAACTGGAGATCCTCACTGGGGGGAGCCAAGATGGGTCGAGGGTCCCTCAGTGAGGTGACCCGGTGCTGCAGCTGGGGACACTGGGGACCTCTAACTGGGGAAGCCGAAGCTGGAGTGGGGGCTGGGAGTTTCTCACTGGGGGAAACTGAGGCTGGGTTGGGGGCACTGGGGGTCCCTCACTGGGGGGAGCCGAGGCTGGGGTCGGGGGTGGGGGGCCGGGGGCAGCGCGGGGGGAACGCCTTGTAGCTGTAGTACTCCACCACCTGCTTGGGCACCTCCGCCAGCACGCACTTCGCCAGGGCTGTGGGTGACGCCTGCGGGACAACGGGCACACCGCGGGACACCAGGGTGAGCCGGGGCCACCGCGACACCTGCCCGTCCCGCAATGAGGAGCAGCACCCGTGGGAACCGGCTCCCTGTGCCGGGATGTGTGGACGGGAGGGGACTGGAGGGGATGGAAGGGACGGAAAGGAACCGAGAAGGACCGAAGGGAACAGAAGGGACAGATGGGGACGAGAGGGGACGGGAGGGGAGGAGAGTGGATGGGAGGGGGCAAAGAGGGGACGGGGGCGGGACGTGAGGGAACGGGGAGGGACAGGAAGGGAACGGGAGACGACTGGAAGGGATAGGAGGGGCGGGAAAGGGCAGGAGAGAACCAGAGGGGATGCGAAGAACCGGAAGGGGTCGGCAGGACCCCCGGCTGCCCCACTCACGTTCTTGAACTCGCGGAAGGGCACGAACTGGACGATGTCGCGCAGGACGGGCTCCCCCTTGGGGGAGCGCAGGACACCGTCGTCCCCGTCCAGGATCTGCATGTCGGTGAAGTCGGCGTTGCCTACCCCGACGATGATGATGGACATGGGCAGGTAGGAGGCCCGAACAATGGCCTCCCGCGTGTCTGCCATGTCTGTCACCACCCCGTCTGTCAGGATCAGCAGGATGAAGTATTGCTGGGGAGACAGGGATGCTCTGGGGGAGCTGCCCAGCCGCACACGGGAGCACCCACAGGTGTCACAAGCATGTGGGGGTCTCAGCCCAGCCTGGTGCCCCAGTGGCACCCACCGACGCTTCCTTGGTCCGTTCCTCATCGGCTGCCACACGAGCCACCTTGGTGATGATGGGAGCCACGTTGGTGGGGCCATAGAGCTGGATTTTGGGCAGGCAGCTCTGATAGGACTCAACAACACCCTGGATGCCTGGAGGGGGTGTGAGGAGTGAGGAGGGACATCCTGGCCATGGACCCGACCCCACTGGAGCTGGACTTACCCTCACACTCATCGTTGTCGGGGTTGAAGTTGATGGCAAAGTCGTGGGAAACCTGGAGGGCAGGAGAGGAGGGGGCAGCCAGTGCCCACCCCCCACCCGCTGAGCCCCACCAGTGTCAGGGCCTGGGGTGTCTGGAGGGATGAACACATCCCTTGAGTCCCACAGGGCCCTGGCACTCCGACCACCCCTCACCTCGTACTTGGGGGGGATCCTGGCACCAAAGCCCAGAGCTGAGAATTTCTTATCACTGCAAGGGAAGGGGTGTGAGTAGCTCTGGTGCCATCACTGGGTAGCTGTTACTGGGGCATTTGACCCCAGGGTGGCTGTCACCAGGGTGTCTGGCCCTAGGGAACCCACCAGAGCGACCAACCTGTCATAGTCCTGGCAGATCTCACCCACAGCCACCAGCGCCTTGAGATACTCGTTGGGCTGGTAGGGGTTGATGTAGTGCAGGGAGCAGCTATTTCGGGGGTCCCCATTGGAGGCTGTGAAGTCAATGGCCACCTGGGGTGGAGGGGGGGCAGTGAGGGTTCCCCTGGGGCAAGCTGGGCCACCAGCGTGTTCCCACTGGGTGGAGTGGGAGACTCTGCTCACCGTGAAGTGGATCTGGCAGCCGCCCATGATATAGTCCAGAAAGGAGTAGACCCTGTGGATCTTCCAGAGGGACCCGTGTCAGCTGGTCCTGCTCACGCTGGCCTATGGAGCCAGGCATGGCTCTGCTCAGCACGGCTCGGCATGGAATGCAGGCACTCCTGCATTCCCACTCACCTTCAGGTCCAGCAGCACCACAACCCCCGAGTTCTTGTAGTTGCGCTTCTTAATCTTGTACTTGGGGTTCATGCAGTCCCACTGCACCTGCGGCACATGCGGCACCCGCGCTGCCTGCGGCCCTCACCCCAGGACCCCCATCCCTGGCACCCCCCAGACCCCTGGTCCCATGGCTTTGCAGAATGGTGACCCAACAACCCCATAACATTGCGGCCCAATAACCCTGCAGCCCCCCACGGCTCTGCAGCACAATGACTCCACAGTCCCAGAACATTGTGGCCCCATAAAAACACAGCCTCGCAGCTTCGTATCTCTGCAGCACAGTGATCCCACAACCCTGAAGAACCGTAACCCTGCCTCCCTGCAGCCCCTCAGCCCCACAATGCTCCAGCCCCATGGTGTCGTGACCCACAGCCCCACAGTTCTATAACCACACAGCCCCATAACCCTGCAACCCCATAGCCCCAGGTTGCAGCTGCCTTCCCCCACTCCCAGCCACATCCTGGCATCCAGCCACCCCATCCATGACTGATTCCCCAGAGGACCCCAAACCCACCATCCCTTCCCCAAAGAGGTAGGCAGCAGCAAGGAAAGAATGACCCCAAACCCAGAGGAGTTGCTGGGAGCTATCTGCTGGGATGGGCTCTTCTGACAGCACACAGGGGTGACCCTCAGGCTACCCCCGTGACCCCGTGTCCCACCTTGTTCTCTCCCATCGCCTTCTGCATCTCCTCGAAGGTGGTGAAGAACTCCCCAATGAAGTCGTGTTTGCCCCGGGAGTCGTAGTCCCACACCACACCCTGCAGTGGGCACAGCTCAGCCCTGGCACCGGGGGGGGCCCTAGCACACCCCCAGGGAAGCCAGGGTACAGATACTTCTGGGGCAGGGATGAGGGTCCCCATCTCCCTTCCTCACCCTCAGCTTCCTCTTCTCCTCACAGCTGCAGAGTGAGTTGAGAGACACCTTGAAGGGCTCCCAGACAGGGCTCAGGTTGTTCTTCACCACCTGTGGGACAGGAAGCTCAGCAGGGCTGAGGAGGTCCCAGAGTGGCTGTGGGGCAGCCGAGGGACCAGCCCTGCGGGGCCTCACCTCCGTGCGGTACACGAGCTGCTCGCTGCGGTCATCGTCAATGCGGTAGATCTCCAGGAAGGGATCCGACTTGCTGAAGAGGTCCTGGAGGAAGAGGAGGGGGCAAGGCACTGCCCACCCTGCCCACCCTGCCCCATGTCCCCCCCCGGCACCTGGCTCACCTTGTCATCCAGCTTCTTGGCACGGAAGGCCAGCTCCACGTAGCCGTTGTTCCCTGAAATCTCCTCGGAGATGATCTGCAAGGAGAGGCAGCCGCGGGGTGCTCAGTGCCTGGCACGGCTTTGTCCCCTGCCTCCCACCTCCCTGTGGTGCCCCAGGAGCAGACAGGGTGCCACATGCCTTCACTCGGGTAGCAGGAACCCCCAATGGCCAGCAGACACCAAGAGGGACTCTGAGCCCTCCTCACTCCCAAGAGCCTGAGGGGCTGCACGGCTGGATGGCAGCTCAGACAGGAGGAGGGTCACTGGGGACCCCCCACATCCCCTAGCTCAATGGCACCCACAGCCCAGTGACAGCCCACTGACTCAGCCCAGATGTCCCAGCTTGATGCCTTCCCAGCATCCCAGTCCAGTGCCACCTATGTGTCCTGTCCAGTGTCACCCTGGGGTCCCAGGTTGGTGTCACCTCAGGGTCCC